ACCTAAGTCTCTCATTTTACAGTTGAGAAAACTGAGGTTGAAGAGAGGTTAAGCGACTTGCCAATAAGTCACAGAACCAAGTTCCAACTCTTCCCATTGTACTTTTCTGCCTGTCTAGTATTTTCCATTCTAGAACTATAGAGTGAGCTGGTAAAAGCATATAGATTCTACCACATTTTACAAAAATTATTTAGGAATAATTTTTCCAAAGAAAGAAAAACATTTTATTTCAATCTTCTTTTACTTCATCACTGGAAAAAAAACACAAAGTCTACTTAATAATAATAAAAATAGCTAGCATTTGCATATTGTTTTTAAGTTTGCAAAGTGTTTTACAAATTTTTTTCAGCCATTTTGCAATTGCGTTTGACTCATGACCCCATTTGGAATTTTCTTGGCAAAGATACTGGAGTGGTGTATCATTTCCTTTTCTAGCTCATTTTGCAGATGGGGAAACTGAGGCAAACAGGGTTACGTGACATGCCCAGTGTTGCATAGCTAGTAAGTGTCTGAGGCCAGATTTGTAGTCAGGAAGATGAATCTTTCTGACTCTGGGCCCGGCACCCTACCCACTGTGACACCTAGCTGCTCTGTATTACCAATATGATCTCATTTTTATCGTCAAAACAACCCTGGGAGGCGGTACTATTGTTATCCCTTTTTATGGATGGGGAAACCAAGGCAAATAGAGGTTAAGTGACTTGCTCAGCATTGCATAGCTAGTAAATGTTTGAGGCTGGATTTGAACTTAGGTTTTGCCGATTCCAGGGCCAGTGTATATGAAAATAGATACACAACCATCATGCAAAAATATGTATGATAATAAGAAATTGTTGCTTCTTAACTCAGTAATTTTTTTTATCCTTAGAGTAAAATATAGAGTAGAACATAGATTAGAGCCAGATGCCAAAAGATTTCTTTGCTTTAAATTTAATTCAAAAATCTGTGATTGGGGCAGTCCCTTAACCAATGGATTTTTTATGGCCTTTGAAGACAGTCTTTATGAGATCATAGGATCATAGATTTAGAGCTGAAAGGATGTTAGTGGTCATTGAATCCAGTCCTTAAATGTTGTGGTCCATAAAAGCTGTCACCTCATTGCTGACCTTCTGATGATATTGCAATGGGGCAGGGCAGGAAGGGGGAGGAAGGATAACAGGAGAAGAGGTGGAAGGAATATGATACAATAGAAAGAATGCTGGATTTGGAGTCAGAGGACCTGGGTTCAAGTCCCATTTCTTCTACCTGTTCCCTTTGTGACCTTGTCACGACCTCTCTCTGGACCTCAGTTGTCTCATCTAAGCCCCCTTCCACTTCTAAATCAACGATCCTGATTCTCCAAACTTCAGTAGGCAGGTGGTTGGAAGACAGGCACACAATCCATTATTGCTCCCAGTCTCCAAATCTTTCCCATTTAGCAGGACCTGCCACAAACCATTGTATTCTTCTGGTACAGCCTTTGGAAAACCAGGGTCACCTTCATGAAATATTGAGGTGTTGGAGTAGGGCTGTAGTGGGGTACTTTGATTTTTTTAATCATCACAAAGGTTTTTTGCTGGGAGCAAGTAAAAAAAATCAATTAAATAAGTGATTTTTCATTTAATGAGTACTTTTAGAAAGAACTCCATTGGCATTTCATTTCTAGAGATTTTTGCTCATAGAGCAATTGATTTATTTTCTATTTCTCAAGTTTCAACCTCGAATGTCAAGAAAGCTTTGCGAGCTGCATGCTTCTGCTAAACAAAATAGCTCCACCAGTGAATGTGCTACTACTTGGGAAGGAAAGGAAATAAACATTTATATAGTGCCTACTACATGCTTTTATAAATATCTCATTTGATCTTTGTGAATTCTGCTATGTTCCACACCAATTTTAATATAATCAGTGTTATATTTTCAGACAAAGCTGAATGTTTTCTTCTTTTAAAGTGACCAGTTGAGTTCTGATTTATTTTTATCATTAAGTACCTACAGGGCAGCTAGGTGGTGCAATGGATAGAGTGCCTGGCCTGAAGTCATGAAGATCTGAGTTCAAATCCAAACTCTAACACTTATTAGCTGTGTGACCCCAGGCAAGTCATTTAACCTCTGTTTGCCTCACTTTCCTCATCTGTAAAATGAGGATAATAATCACACCTACCTCCCAGAGTTGCTGTGAGGATCAAATGAGATAATAATTGTGAAGTGCTCAACAGAGTGCCTAGTACATAGTAAATGCTATTGAAATGTGAGTTATTATCATTAAGCATGAGCAAATATGAAGTATTAATGACTCACTTGTTTTTGTGAATGAAGGTAATCAATGTTCCTTAGATTTTTTTCTACTTATTTATAAATCCTTTATATTTTGTTATTATTTATGTTGATGAAAAAGATCACAGATAGCTTGCTTTAATATATAGTATTATGTTTAATTTTGTAAAATTTTGCCTTGTGATGTAAAAATTGTACCTTGCTCATCTTTAAACTTCTATAACTGTTGTATTGGAGGCTAACAAAAGACCTGGATACACTTTGGGGAATTTTTGCTTTTTTGGATCCAGATAATATGGAATTTCAATGCCTGATCCTTCACAAGGGTAATCACAAGTTCCCCTTACAAGCAAACAAGCTCACAAGGTTTAAAAGGTGAACCATTTTATTTATGATTTAATTTTTAAAAGGACACATTTTAGCTCACAGAGAGTAACCATACATCCCAGAGAATTATACAATCTCCTAGACTTACATTGTGAGTCTGGGTAGAACTCCAGTTGGAATTTGTTCACCTACATTGTTGCACTTCTTTGTATCTCCTCTGTCTGCATTATGTTGCTTCCCACAGCTCTTGCCTCTATGATTCTCAGCAGGCATTGCTGGTTCACTTCTCAATATGTATGTTTCCAATGGCACCATTCTCCACAAACCTGCTTTCTGCCCCTTAGCCCTCTCTTATACCTTGCTGCTCTCCTCAGCTTAGGTTTCTTCCAGCAGAGGGCACTCATCCCTTCTCCAGAAAAACAGCTGCCCAAGCATTCCTGGACGGGACAAGACAAATCTCAGAGTGTATTTTATAACTCAGCCCCCACCCCTATGCTCCTCCCCTCCCTTATTCTTTTTTTTTTAATTTTTAAATTTTATTTTTTTTCCCTCGCTTATTCTTAAGCCTTCTTTTATACATGGTTCCCATAGTTCCAACTCTCACATTGCTGGTTTCTTGGAGACCAAGATTATTTATTGGAACTTCTATTTCTTATGTCATTCAAACGAATGTCTCTCTTTCATCAAATGCATGCTGTTTGAATGTAAGCACCTTTAGGGCAGGGATTATTTTTTTGGCACATTCTGTAGTAGGTTCTTAGTAAATGCTCGTCGATTATTTGATTAATCCATGCAGGCTGTTCTTCATAATTTTGTTATATTCACCTTTGAATTTTTGGTGTATAGGTGTTTTTTCTGCTTGAATAGTTATAGTTACTATGCATATTGTTTATATATATATTTTATAGTTGTTTTATATGTGTTTATTATATATATATGTTTATGTGCACTTTGCATCAGTTCATATAGATCTTTCCTTACTTCTCTATATTTATCACATACATTGTTGCTTTATAATACAGTAATTTTCCACTACATTCATAAATCCCAATTTGTTTAGCTATTTCCCATTTGATGGACACCTATTTTGCTTCCAATTCTTTGCTGTCACAAAAGTGCCCTACCCCCACTTCAATCTCAATGTGCCCATCCTTGAAATCATCATAGGATTATAGGGTCATAGTTTAGAATTCAGAGGTCATTGGGGGCAGCTAGGTGGAGCAGTGGATAGAGCACTGGCCCTGAAGTCAGGAGGACCTGAGTTCAAATCCGGCCTCAGACCAAACACTTGACACTTACTAGCTGTGTGACTTAAGTCACTTAACCCAAATTGCCTAAAAATAATTAAACAAAAAAAAATTCAGAGGTCATTTAATCCAACCTCCCCATTTTACAAAGGAGGAAACTGAGGCCCAGCTAGATGTAGTGAATTGCCTGCCGCACAGATAAGAGCCTGTATTTAAATTCAGGTTTACTAACTCTAGAGCCCATGAATTTTTCTCATTATGCTTTCTCCCTTAATCTGTTTTCCCTCTTAACTAGGCTTTTTCTATTGGTGACACCATTCTCTCAGATGTTGTTATTCATTTGTTCAGTTATGTCCAACTCTGTGTGACCCCATGGACTTTTATCTATGGGGTTTTCTTGGCAAAGATACTAGAATGGTTTGCCATTTCCTTCTCCACTGTTTCCCCATTTTACAGATGAGGAACTGAGGCAAATGGAGGTTAAGTGACTTGTCCAAGGTCACACAGCAGGTAAGTGTCAGAGGCCGAATTTGAACTCAGATCTCGACTCCAGTCCTGGGTGCTCTATCCACTGCACCACCTAGCTGCCCCATGGCTGAAATCATGGAATCATCTTTGATTCTGTCTCTTTTACCATTTATATACAATCAATTGATAAATTCTATGCATTCTACTGCTATAATATCTCATTCACCCACTCTCTCTTTTCACTTCCACTACTACCTCTGCAGTTTAAGCCTTTGTGACCTCTCACCCACACTACTGTAAAAGCCTCCTATCTGATATTCTTGGCTCCTGTATCTCTGCTCTCCAATTCATCCTTCACATGACAGCCAGAATGATCTTTGTGTAATGCACAGTTATGTCCATGTCATTCCTCAGCTTAAACATCCTCCCATTACTTGTCAAATATAATATAAACTACTTTGCCTGACACCTAGGGCTGTCCATAGCCTGATCCCAATCTACTTTCCTAGCTAGTTGACTTCTTAACTAGCACGTGAACTAGCACGTGACTCCCCTTTTACACATCAGATGTTTTAGCCAAACTCACAAACCACCGATAGCTAGTATTATCTTACCTTTTTATGCTAGCAGGAACAAACTCTTCACTTCTAGAGGTCTCTCCCTGCCCCCACATCTCCACCTGTTGAAATGCTTTCCTTCTTTCAGGTTCTAGGTGACCTCCTCTGTGAATCCCACCCACAGGCCCAGTTGTAGTTGCATTTTCTCCACGGGTAAGTACAGACTACTGTGTTGTAATTATTTTATTACATTTTGCATGATTCCTATTTGTGTAGTTATCTTATCTTTGGCCCTCCATCCTCACCCTCCATAAGGGTAAGTTCTATAAACCTTCTCTTCTGTAGTTCTTTCAGTGTTCCCCACGACATGACTTCTAGACCCTTCTTTATTCCTGTTACCTTACCTTTCCAACCTCAGATCTCAGAGCCAAACTAATGAAGATAGGCCAATTTCCTCCTTATCTGGAATCTATTACTCCTATCTAAGGCTGAGAGGCCCAGTGGAGTATTGGATAGAAAACCTGCCAGAGGCTGAGGAAAACCTGGGCCCAAGTATTACCTTGGACACATGCAAGACCTGCTTTGATAGCAAGAATTTTCAATACCAGTGAAATTACAGACCTACATTTAGAAAGCCCTCCTCCTAAATATATATAACATTACTAACATACAACACACACACACACACACACTCATACACACACACACACACACACACACACACACACACACACCCTGAGATGGTTTAGGAAAAAGAACTAGAGAGAGCCAATGTAGTCATATCACACAGTAGTCAGTTAACTGCCTATTTTACCCTTTAACAAGCAACTTGAGCAGAGGATCGAAATAAGACCATGTCCTATAAAAACTGTTTTTATTAACCTATATCAAATTGTTTAGCTTTTTAGGAAGAGGGGAGGGGAGGGAGGGAAGGAGAAAAATTTGGAACTCAAAATCTTGTAAAAATGAATACTAAAAACTGTCTTTACATATAATTGGGGAAAAATAAAATACTATTAAAAACTGGTTATATTCCTTATTCAATACAGAATTTTTCAGCAATGGTAAGAGGGGGAGCATATTTTACTGGCATTATTATTTACATTTAAGACAAAAGTGTTTAAAGGATTGTCATATGGAATAATCACTCTAAATTCTAGAAGGCCAAAGGAGAAACAAGAGCTTTCTAATGAAGCATCCTCAAAGTGGATGCTCTGGAGATATTAGGAGTGTCAAGTAGAGGCTAAGTGACCAGTTGACTTAGTTATTGGAGAGGTGATTTCTGAACAAGGCTGGTTTGATTGTGTTAGGGTAGTTAACTTCTACGTCCCATTCTGATTTCAGGATTATGATGTAACAATACTTAATTTCTAAAGTATGCTAACCATGGTTGAGATAAGTCATAAAATGCTTGATTTTTTTTTTTTACGATCATGGTGTTGTGGCAAGAGTACTGGACCTAGGAATCAGGAGGTATGAGTAAGTAGCCCACCTCTGGCCCTTGGTAGTTGTGTGGCAGTGGGTAGCTCTGAAGATAAGCATGGGGCTTATAAGCCAAGGTTGTGCGTGCCCCCTGAGGGCCTTCATCCTGAGGTGATCTTGGCTGGGGGAGCCACAGAGATTTGTAGGGCCCTCCCAGGTGCTATACATAGATTCCTTCAAAGTTCAACCCCAGTGCTACCTGGAAAAGCTATGGAAAGTTTTTCCTGATGTCCCTTGAATTCTCTCTTCAAATTAATTTACGTTTAACTATCTTTGTACCTATTTAATTCAATTTTATAAGCATTTATTAAGTCCCTACTTTCTGCAAGTACTGTGCTTGGTATTATGACGGTTCAGAATAATCAAATTCCACTCTAGGGAAACGTGGAACACATGTTAAGACAGTGAAGCAAACCAGCTTTTTTTAGGGAAGATATTCACAAAACAGTAGGGACAGTAAAGGGTGATGGACATAGGGAAGTCCACTGGGGTCCTAGAGGGAATGGGGCACCCTTTCTCAAATCAGTAAAGTCTGAGTTTTTTTTTCCCCCCAAGGCTTCTTAACTTGTTCTAAAAGGACCAGACATTGGGGGAAGGAAGTGAGGAGTTTGGATATGGGGTCGGCGATTCATACTAGTAGGGAAAAAGAAGACTGAATAATTGGCGACTAGCTGATATTTAAACTCCTCATCTGGGAAAAGGATTTTTATCATTGCTGGTCCTATTCTTCCAGGGTTGACTGGATTTTTTTTTTTTATCTTCCCCAGGGCTTCTTCAGTTAAGGGGAAGCTCCTGGGGTTATTTCATTGGGAACTAAAAGACAACAACAAAACAATTCCTGCTCTCAAGGAGCTTACATTTTATTGAGGACAGTAATCTGTAAAAACCTAAGTAAATAATTATGAAATATACACAGAATAAATATGAAGTAATTCCAAGTTGGAGGGAGAATGAGAGAATCAGAAGAGGCTTCTTTGTAAGAGGTGGCTCTCAAACTGGTTTTATCATTTTTTAAAATTTTATTATTGTTTTTTGAGACCAACATCTTCCTTTTATTTTATTATTTTGAACTGACTTTAAAGGAGTTAGGGAGGTTGAAAGAGGCAGAGGTGAGGGAGGGAGAGCATTCCAGAACCTGTGCATGGAAATAGGAAATAGGCTGTCAAGTTCATCACCTGGGCTGGAGCACAGAGTATGTAATGGGGGATATTGTGCAATCAGCCTGGAAATATAGATTAGAGATGGATTGTAAAGGGCTAAATACCAAAGAGAGGAATTTGCCTTTTATCCTGGAGGTAATAGGGAACCACTGAAGCTTTTTTGAGCAGAGGAGTAACATGTTCAAGGCCCGTGTTTTAGGAATATCACTTTGATAGTTGTATAGATGAAGGATTGGAAAGGGAAGAAATTGGATACAGGGATGCTAATTAGGAACTCTTGCAATAGTCTAGGTGACAGGTGATAAGGGATTGAATTAGGGTGGTTGTGGTATGAGTGCACAAAAGGGGATGGATTCGAGAGGAGGTGGGAAGGTGGAATTGATAAGACTTGGGAACTGACTGGATATGATGAACGATAGAAAGTGAAGATCCAAAGATAATTCCTGTTTTACAAACCTGAGCAAATAGAAGAACATATCTTAGATTAAGAGCTGGAAAATACCTTAGGGGTCATCTAATTCAATTCCTTCAGTTTTCAGATAAGGAAACTGAGGCCCAGAGAGGCTAAGGAACTTGTCCTAGGTCATACAGGTAGTACATATCAGTCAGATTTTTGACTCAAAATCCAGAGTTTTTTTCATTACACCACAACACCGGAAGATTGAAAGATAATGTAGCTTGTGGGGGGGGGGTCGCGGGGGCGGGCGGTTGAGGTGTTCATCAAAGGCACAGCAGATCCACTGAGTCCCCCTAATCCGCTTGATGAGATTACAGGACTGGGACCCTTTTTCAGAAAGTCTCCCAGGAAACTGGATATGTTCTCTACTTCCTTGCTAAAGGACATGTGCTTTGTTGGAATAACACAGTAAGACATACATTTTGCTGGGGGTGAGGGGATGTAGCAATTCCTGAAGGGGTCTGTTAGTCCTCTGCAACTGGTGGATTCTATCAAAGATGATTTTCCACTAAGAATCCAGAGGATAGACTAGCAAGTCAGGATGATGAACTCTTAATAAGCGTTGTAGAAATGGCTCTGCTTCTTCTCTTTCTGGGCCTTCTTGTTAGGACACTTCCCTTTCTCTTAGACTTCTAACATGGCGGGGGCGAGGCAGGGAGAAAGGGACTTCTATCTTGTCCCCCATCCATCAAAAATGGTAGCTATAAGCACATGGCCTCAGGAACATGTGCTTGCCCAGATGAGTCTGAGTCTTCCCAAGCCAGTGGTCAGTTATCTTGAGAAATGGATGTTTCCAATCTTAGTGGTAATTTCATGGGTTCAGAGTTCCTGAGTTTCAAAGGTAGGCATCTGCTGACCCAAAGAAAGAAAGTATCTTTGAGAAGAAAGTCACTACCAGAATCGTCCTGCAGCCAAAGAGCTAAAGAGAGCCATACCCTAACTGGTTAAGAGACTTGGACATTGCAAGTTGCTTAGATTTTAGGTGTACAGATTTGAGGTGAATTTGGATACAAAATATTTGTCCAGCCATCCCACGAAGTTGTCTTTGCTTTCCTTGGCAGTATGAAGAATATAATAAACTAGTAGAATATTTTATATTTTTTATGTATTTGTTTGTGAGCAAAAGAATCTTTTGTGTTTTAGGCATTTTTTTTCTGAACTGGAGGAAATAATCAGCTGCTCCCCTATACATAATGCCAATTTTCTGGAAAGGGCACTGTTATCCATATTTTGAGGCAACCCTAGCCATGAACCATACCTAATCTTTGTCTTAGATACGTCTCTAGAGTTAATCCAGAACAGGGGTAATAAGCCAGAGGAGAAAAAAAAATACCTATGGTCCCTTTGGGGTCAGGCATTCCAGGATTAATTCTGGTTCGTGTGAGCTCAGAGCTGGAGCCCTTTGTGGGAAGAGGTCTCCCATGAGCACAAAAGGATCACAAAAGGATTGTGGGAGACGGAGATGAGGAGGGAGTACATGTCAAGGCATAACTGCTGTTATGACGCGCAGTCTTTCTTCCACATTCTGAATTGGATATTGGTCAAAGAATTTCTTCCCTTTCTCTCTGACACTTTGATGTGGCATGAGGAATGTTTCCCTGAGAAGGGCTTGCCTGATTGTAGGTGTTGCTGAAATCAGAGTAGTATGATAAAGAGTCCTGACTGCTGTAACTCAGAGGTTCCCTTGGAAGGAACTAAGTTGGGAATCCAGCCATTGATGGATTGACATACAACCACTTGGAGTTTTAGTTTTTGGACTGGATCTCTGATTTCATTGGTTTAGAGAACTTCCAATGACTTGTCCAGAGTCATAGAGCTAGGATATATCAGAAGCTTAACTTGACCCCAGGTCTTCCTGACTCTGAGACTGGCTCTCCATCCATTATGTCATCGTGCCAACCATAGTTTTTAAACAGTGTCTTTTAAAATAACCATTTCTTGCAGTAAAGTTGCACTAGACTGTGAGGTGAATATGTTTCCTAGTGAGTCACATGAAGACAGAGAGGAGATAAGTATCTTAATGGAAAACAAAGCCTGAACTATCCCTAAACTATATTTGGAGATTTTTCTTAGAGTAAACTTTAGGTGGGGGCAAAATTAATGAGCTGAATGCA